CTTCTTCGTCAGTAAGGCCGTCGCGGGTGTTGCCAGCGCCCATGCCCGCAAGAACCTCGTCAACCCTGGTCGTGAATTTAGCGCTCCTAGCTGCCGTTTTGTCTTGCGGATTCTCGTCGTCGTGATCGGACGACTCTTCATCCGATGAAGACTTTCCCTTCTTCTTGTCCTTGTTCTTGCTGTGTTTGCCTTTCGACTTCTTCTTCTTGTAGGTGCTGCTCTTCGCCTGTTTCGTTTCGTTGTCGCTACTGAGGGAGGCCTCCTCGTGTTTCGGAGGCTCGTCCGAGTCTGAAGAACTCGACATCTCTGTGTGGGGTGGGTGGTCGAGATCGCGAGTAGAAGCAAAGGCGATCAATCGATGCCGGCTGTGGTCAAGATGCGGTCGGCAGAGCGGGCTCACGCGACGGAGAAAAAGAAAAAAGAATCGAAGCTGATGTTCCGGAATTTCACCTTTATTTTTTCCACCCTAAAAATTCGGCATTGGTCGGTTTTCTGGCATTCCGGCACTCCGGCCGGGATGCTTGCGGATTGGATCGCAAGATTGCGCACACGGCATCCTACGGAGCCTGGGAGCCAGGGACCACGGGCAGGAGCGGGCAACTGCTCCTCTTTTTGGGCCAAGGAAGCCTTGATCGCCAACTTCGAGTGGGGAGGTGGCCAGAATGGTGCCGTGTTATTGATCTATATTTTTATGTTTTTTTGTTGTATCTTCGCCACCAAAGAAGTCCCCAAAAGGAGAAGATTGCGGCGCTGCGAAAATTCCAAACATGCTTCACATACCAATGTTTTTCTTCTTGCCATTTTCTTGCTGGCAGGCAGGGAAAAAGCCGGAAAAGTTCGCGCAAGAAGGCCAGCGTGACATCAACACAAACTTTGCGCATTCGCCAACGAGGAGCTGCAGACGTGGGCATCCTTCTGCTCACTTGGAAGCCACATTTAAATGGATCGTGCCCTCTCTACATGGGTTAATGATCAGCTACACGGCATCCTCGGATTTGCCGAGTCCTCCGTCGTGGACTATGTCATCGCTTTGGGTATGTTCCTCTTTCCACCGCCCTCTTCACTGCCAATTGTTATCCTTCATTCTTTCAGTTCAGCCCTGCTCGCAATTCCCCAATTACAATCATTACAAATTGCTCTCCATTTCTACACCACGATTCTATTTCGATTTTGTGGCATTACCATGCAGCGCGCTAACATCATCTCAACCATTGCAGCGCGGAAGAGCAAAGACGTGGGTTCGCTGACGCGAGCGCTGGCCGACCAGGACCTCCCGACCGGGCCGCAGACTACACAGTTCGCCAACCAGCTGTGGGCCAAGGTAGGCCGCGGCGGTTCCGCCACGGCCGCCACCACCAGCCGCTACGCCGAGGAGGAGCGGCGGCTGGCCCAGGTCATGGCCAAGAACCAACAGTACAAGCTCGTGCTCGACGACGACGACGAGCAGGCCGGCGTCAAGGCCGAGAAAGGCGCCGGCGCCAAGCGCAAGGCCGACAGCAGCAGCAGCAAGAAGAAGAGCCTCAGAAAGAAGGTCAAACAGGAGAGCGACGACGATGAAGGCGACAACGACGACAACGAGCCGGCCGTCAAGCGGGCCAAGCGGGAGAGCGCAAAGAAGAAGCAGCCGGAGCTGAACGCGGCGGAGAGGGACTGCAGGAGATCCGCGAGTTCGAGGAGCGGCTCAAGAAGCGGGACGAGCAGCGGACGAAGAAGAAGGCGCCCGGGTCGGCGGCGAGCCGCAAGGCCGAGGAGGAGGCCGAGCGGCGGCGCGCCATGGACGAGGCCGAGCTGGACGAGGCGCGGCGGATATCGCGCATCGAGTACCTCAAGAAGCGCGAGGAGCAGAAGATGAAGGAGATCGAGGACGACCTCAAGGACGAGCTCTACCTGTTCGGCGACGTCGAGCTCACCGCCGCCGAGAAGCGCGAGATGGCCAAGAAGCGCAAGCTGCTCGAGCTGGCCAAGCAGCGCGTCACGCTGACCGACGAGATCGACCACTACCTCCCGCCCGAGGCCTACGAGGACGAGCAGGGCCGGCTCGACCTCAAGAAGAAGAACGCCGTGCTCAACGCGCGCTACGTGAGCAAGGACGAGCAGGTCGTCGACGAGCAGATCAACTGGGAGCAGCACCAGGCCAAGCACGCCCTCGCCCGATTCGGCGCCAAGGACGCCAAGGCCAAGGCCAGCGCCGACGAGAAGCAGTACGACCTGGTGTTCGAGGACCAGATCCAGTTCGTGCAGGCCGAAATGATGGCGGGCAAGATCGACGAAGACGCGCCGCCGCCGGTCAAGAAGACCCTGGCCGAGACCCTGGCCGAGACGCGCAAGGCGCTGCCGGTCTACCCCTTCCGGGAGGACCTGCTCAAGGCCGTGCGCGAGCACCAGATCCTGATCATCGTGGGCGAGACCGGCTCGGGCAAGACGACCCAGATCCCGCAGTACCTGTACGAGGACGGCTACTGCGCGGGCGGGAAGAAGATCGCCTGCACGCAGCCGCGGCGCGTGGCGGCGATGTCGGTGGCCAAGCGCGTCGCCGACGAGATCGGCACCAAGCTGGGCAACGAGGTGGGCTACTCGATCCGATTCGAGGACTGCACCTCCGACCGCACCGTGCTCAAGTACATGACCGACGGCATGCTTCTCAGGTAGAGCTCCATCCCTCTTCTTCTTTTCTTTCCACGAGACACGACACGACACGACACGACACGACACGACACGACACGACACGACACGACACGCGATAACTAACGTGTTTTTGTTGGGCGGCGGCGGCGGCGGCGGCAGGGAGTTTTTGTCGGAGCCGGATCTGTCGGGGTACAACGTGATCATGATCGACGAGGCGCACGAGCGCACGCTGCACACGGACATCCTGTTCGGGCTGGTGAAGGACATCGCCCGCTTCCGGCCCGACCTCAAGCTGCTCATCTCGTCCGCGACGCTCGACGCGCAGAAGTTCTCGAGCTTCTTCGACGACGCGCCCATCTACACGATTCCCGGCCGCCGGTACAACGTCGACATCTTCTACACCAAGGCGCCCGAGGCCGACTACCTCGACGCGTCGATCGTGACCGTGCTGCAGATCCACGTCACCCAGCCGCCGGGCGACATCCTCGTGTTCCTCACGGGCCAGGAGGAGGTCGAGACGGCGGCCGAGGTGCTGGCGGTGCGCACGCGCGGGCTGGGGACGAAGATCAAGGAGCTCATCATCTGCAAGATCTACTCGACGCTGCCGTCGGACATGCAGGTCAAGATCTTCGAGCCGACGCCGCCGGGCGCGCGCAAGGTGGTGCTGGCCACCAACATCGCCGAGACGTCGCTCACCATCGACGGCATCACCTACGTCATCGACCCGGGCTTCTCCAAGCAGAAGAGCTACAACCCGCGCACGGGCATGGAGTCCCTGATCGTCACGCCCATCTCCAAGGCCTCGGCCGAGCAGCGCGCCGGCCGCGCCGGCCGCACGGCGCCCGGCAAGTGCTTCCGGCTCTACACGGCGTGGGCCTTCCGGCACGAGCTCGACGAGAACACGATACCGGAGATCCAGCGGACCAACCTGGGCAACGTCGTGCTGCTGCTCAAGAGCCTCGGCATCAACGACCTCATCCACTTTGACTTCATGGACCCGCCGCCGGCCGAGACGCTCATCCGCGCGCTCGAGGAGCTCTACGCGCTCGGGGCGCTCAACGAGCGGGGCGAGCTCACCAAGCTCGGGCGGCGGATGGCCGAGTTCCCGATCGACCCGATGATGGCCAAGGCCATTCTCGCGTCGGAGAAGTACGGGTGCAGCGAGGAGATGCTCAGCATCGTGGCCATGCTCAACGTCAACAACTCGATCTTCTACCGCCCCAAGGACAAGGCCGTCCACGCCGACAACGCGCGGGTCAACTTCAACAAGCCCCACGGGGACCACCTGACGCTGCTCAACGTGTACAACCAGTGGAAGGAGGCCAACCACTCGATGCAGTGGTGCTTCGAGAACTTCATCCAGTTCCGCAGCATGAAGCGGGCGCGCGATGTGCGCGACCAGCTCGAGGGCCTGCTCGAGCGGGTCGAGATCGAGCAGACCTCGGCCGGCGACGACCACGTCGCCATCTGCAAGGCCACCACGGCCGGCTTCTTCTACCACACGGCCCAGCTCCAGCGATCGGGCGCCTATCGCACCCTCAAGCACAAGCAGAGCGTCCAGATCCACCCGTCGTCGGCCCTCTTCCAGCAGCTCCCGCGCTGGGTGCTCTACCACGAGCTCGTCTTCACCACCAAGGAGTTCATGCGCCAGATCATCGAGATCGAGCCCGAGTGGCTCGTCGAGATCGCGCCCCACTACTACAAGCAGTCCGAGATCATGGACCAGGCCAAGCGCAAGATGCCCAAGAAGGCCGGCAGCGCCGGCGGCTTCCAGAAGTAAAGCCAAAGGGAAAGGGTTGGTGCAGCATCCCCCTTGTAATTTGCTGCTGCTGCTGCATGTGTGTGTACAGACACTGTCCCCCTTTCTCTTGCTTCGCACTCTTTCTCTTTCAGAACCCCCCCCCACCAACTCGGTCCTTTTCGCTTTCGCTTTTTCAATTTTTCGTTTCGATTTTCGTTTTGTGGTCGGGCCAAAACTACACCCCCCCCCAAACCTCCCGCAAGCTTGAGGGAGAGAAGGAGGAGAGATGAGCACGAGCTGTGCGTTGTGTCGCCTTGCACGCGCCGCATGTGACAAACACCTGGCGTACCCCCCCCCCGCGGGTCCTCTTCTTCCTTGTCTCCTTCTGAGGCGGAGGCTCATCTTATCTGTCTTTGTGTGCGGCGTGGTGGTGGGTGGTGGTGGGTGATGGTTAGAGCTGAGCCGTGCGAGCGGTGCGTGCGGTTGAACATGGCCGACCAGTGCTTCTGGCCGACGCCCGCCAAGCGCGGTCGCCCGCCTCGCCACCCGCACCCGACGACGGCGCAGCCAACGGTACAGATCCTGCCGGCGGCCCCTCTCGACGCCGGTGGTGGTGGTGCCGGCGACCATGTCTACGCCGCCTCTGTACCACCACCGCAGCCGCGACCCCCGCCCGAGCCGGAAGCGGCGCCGATGACGAGGCCGACGACGACGAAGAAGAGGCGACGACATCAGGGCGGCGACGAACAGGGGCTCGCACTGGGTGATGGTGCGGCGGCAGCTGCAGACCTGGGCAGCGCGACGACGGCCTTTTTGGTGAACACGATCGTCGGGCTCAAGGCGGACATGCGCGCGATGACCGCCAAGATGGAGAAGAAGCTGAAGAAGAAGAAGAAGAAGAAGAAGGAGAAGAAGAAGAAGAAGCAAGACAACAACAACAACAACAACGATGTGGTGGTGGTCGAGTTGCAGCGACGCGTGGAGCAGCTCGAGGAGGACAACGTCCAGCTCCGCATCCAGCTGGCGCACGTCGCCGCCTCTCGCTATGGCGTAGCCGCCACCAATGCAGGCGTTTTTGCTGCACCGCCGCCGCCGCCGCCGCCGCCGTCGTTCAGTTGCGCCCAGCAGCGGTTGAGGGTGGGAGATAACGGTCAACCGGGTCCAGAGATGCTCTGGTGCTTCCCCTTCCTCCAACACTACGACATCCCGGCGGACCGCTTCGTTGTCGATGACATCCAGTACCTACTCCTCTCGCGTTGTGTGTTCACCCACTCACCCACTCACCCACTCACCCACTCACCCACTCACTCACTCACTCACTCACTCACGCTCACGTGGCTACGCGCGCGATTCAACTCGTCTCCGTTTGGCTCACTGGTCTGATTGTCCCCCCCCCCCGTGCGCAGAAAGGCGATCGTGGTTATGGCGCATCCGCAGGGCACAGAGAGACACATCGCGTTCGCAAACCACCAGTTCTGCGGCATTGTGGGATTCTCCATGGTACACACACACAGCACACACACACACACACACAACACACACACACACACGACTTGTGCCCATCTCTGATCGCGACTAGGTCGAGCTTCTCGGCAGCCAGATCTTGGGTGTCTCGTCGCTGCACGAAAAGCACAAGCTCCACCATGCATTGCAGACCAGGTACCCACAGCACCGCACAGCACCGCACACACCGCACACACCGGGAGAGATGCGAAGAGAGGCTGACTGGGAGGGAGCGCGCAGAGGGCAGATGGGGTACAGCGAGAGCACCCCGTGCTTCCTCCAGCTCGAATGCAAGGGGACCCACTTCGCCAAGGTCGCGTCACGCGCTCAGTTCTTCTTTGGCGCCGACGCCCAGGTGCGCGCCGCCGCCTCCATCCTCGCCATCACGCTCGCGCGCTGTTTAGGACGCAACTGTTACAACTGTCGTGCTCACCACGCATCACGCATCTTCCAGCTTCGGTACTCTGTGCTGTGCGTCGATCAAGTGCTGGGAGTGGATCTCGTGTCTTTCACAATCGAAGGTACGGCGTAGCGCCTCTTTCTTTCTCTCTGATCGAGATGTGACCTCGTGCGTTCTACATCGCGCGCAGAGGCACGCAAGAAGGAGGAGGCGGAGTGGGCGCTGGTGTCTAGCAGTGCGGCGCGCGACCGCAATGACGACGGCACCTCTTCATCGCTCACCCCGCCCTCCGCGTCGCCTGCAGCTGGCGAGGGCTTGTGCGACGAGGACGACTACTCCTTCGGCGACTTCATCTCATCACCATCAGCGATCTGGGCTGTGCCCGAGACTATGCCACCAAACCGCCAAACATAACGTGCGTGATTGCGGCGAGGGGCATGATTACCGAATGTTTTTGTATAGATTTTGGTTTGTGCGTGTTACGTGGCCGAACCGAACGAAACGACCAGCTCGCCACAGTCCCGCACCGAGATCTTGTCAAAGGCCGAGGCCAGCGCGCCACCGCCGTCGAGCAACTGGACGAGAACCACCGCGATTTGCGTGAGTCACAAGAAGAAGAAGAAACAAGGCAGCGCGAGAGCGGATTGATTGCGGAAAGTAGTTGATGGGGGGGGAGGGTACCAGCTCCTTGTCGTGAGAGGAGAGGGTGGGCTGGGAGAGGGCCTTGACGGGCGACGAGACCGTCTTGGAGGGCGCGGGCACCGCGAAGAGGTCCAGCGCGGCCGTGTTGACGTTGGTCTTCTTCAGAATTTGTCGGCTCCTGCAGCCCAGCGAAGCGCGGCGATTAGGCCAAACCACACACGCGCGCACAAGCGGACGAGGAGTGGCTGGAAGGTGGTCGGCGTACTGGTATTCCTTCTGGCGGGACTGGGCCACAGCCGAGTCGAAGGCGGCGTTGGAGCTCTGTGAGACGTCGATGAGGTTCCTGTGGTTGTGCACAGCCACAGGCCATGTTAGGCACAGGAGCGCGGTTGATCTGAAGGGCAAAAGTTTCGCGGTGTAAAAAGAGAGCAGAGAGTAGCGGTACTGAGATGTGCGTTCGACGAGGTTCTTGAGGAAGTCGCTGTCGGCCTCGCGCTTCTCGTGGTACGAGGCTGCGATGGCAGCATCGGCCCTGCAAAGAGGAAACAAAATGGTACAAAGATTGCGAAAGAGATGAGCCAAGATGTACAAATGTGATTAATAGGATGCAAAATGGGCCAAAACAGCTGAAAAAGGAGGCGTACTTGGCCGGTGTGGGAGGGGCGCCGATGGGACGCGATCCACCGCTACCGCCCTTGGCCGCACCCTGGGCGCCACCAGCGGGCCTTCGGTCACGAGATTGCTGGATATCTAATTGACAAAAAATTAGAAAATCTTGATCGTCGTATGCAGCACCTGGGCATCCAGAGCTTTCGCCTCGTACGAAAGAAGTACCTTCGGCCTTCGAGCTGTTGCACCCCATTTCAATTTGCGTACGTCTATCTACACTTCGTACTTTTGATTGATCAACGGCGAAATCGAGGTTCTTTCTCTCCCTTTCTTCTCCAGTTATGCATGGCACGCAGCATTCCTCTCAAACGGAATCCAAAGAATGCACCCAAAGCTTTTTCACTGCTGAGCAACACGGCGGATCGCTCGAAGGAAAGTTCGGTGGACGGGGCGAGTCCCGAAACACGATCGACACGACCCACAACAAGGAAGCAGCTTGTCCTGTTTCTTTGGTGGGATTTCTGGACAAGAAGGCGGCGTAGCCTTGTGATTCAGGGAAGCGTTCGAGCAACGCTTGAGGGAACAATAGATCCGACAACGAAGAGTGAATCCTAAAGCGATCGGATTTGAATGACCCGAGACGAGGACGCCATTTCTTTCATATACTGCAAGCACTACAGCTCCTCCTACCCTCAGTTCGTCTCCTATCCCCTTACGGCTTGATCTGGTGCAGTGCACAATCAAGGAAGATCAGCCATGACCGATGATGTTGAGGGTAGGCTCTCCATCTTCATATCCGAGTAGCACACGAGATCTTGCATCTCATCTCCTGCCTCATCCACAGGAGAATGGAGAGTGATCGATGGCGACGAGCCAGTGCCTGCCTCAGTTGGGGCGGGACAGCCGTCGCCTGCGAAGAAGATGCGCAAGCCCTTCGCCTTCAACAATCTCTTCATTAACACCAAATCCAAATTCTACAATCTCTGCAAACCCAGTACGTTCCGCCTCCTCTCTAGAGATCTAACGAACAGCCTCGATGTCTTCTTACGCGGATCTCCACATGTGCAGTGAGCAAGACGTTGCCAGACTTCACCACCTCGCCCGTGGTTATGCTGGGCATCACCTATCGCTCGTCCCCGCGTGTCAGTGCCAAGGGAAAGTCCACCAGTACGTCACCATTCGCCCTTGTTTTGCAGCGGCTGAACGCATCATCGTGCTTACGCCCAAGCAGCCGCTAGACGGCAGCCACAGCCACAGCCACAACGCACACAGCAAGCGGCGAAGCCACAGCTCTACACCTTTTTCAACAAGCTGTCTGTCATCCCCTGGACGGAGGAGATTCAGGCCGAACCATCTCCACCAGCAGCCAGCACCGAGATCCTGCCCGCCCACATCCGCTCCTTCCTCACAGATTTCAGGTTGGCCTTCTTCTTCCTCCGTTGCTACTGCTTCTTCTCTTGACATCATCAACAGCGTCTGCGATCGTGTTCTTGTTCGAAAGCGAAATGTTGCTGATGATAGTCTCTCTCTCGCAACAGATCGCGCATGTGGCTGACCTACCGCAGCAACTTCCCGGCAATCGGGGAAACGAATCTGGTGACGGACATGGGCTGGGGCTGCATGCTTCGTACCGGTCAAATGCTCCTCGCACAGGCCCTCATCACCCACTACCTCGGCCGCGGTACACGCTTCCATCTTTTTTGTTTTTGAAGAGAAAACACAATGATGATCGCTGACGCACTCGCGTGGTGGTCGATCGAATGCATTCAAGATTGGCGCATTCAAGCGGAGGAGAACATGATGACCTACCGAGAGCTGCTGCGATGGTTCGCCGACGAGCCGTCGTCTCGCTCGCCCTATTCCATCCACGCCATCGCCCGCATTGGGCTCCGCAAGTTTAACAAACAGATCGGCGACTGGTTCGAGCCGACCACCATCTCCGAAGCGCTCAGGTAGTCTTCCATACCACCGCACACGCACACACACCACCGCACACGCACACGCAAGCCTAGTACACACTGACGCTTTGCCGCCACGCGCAGGTTATTGGTGACGGAGCATTCGCCGAACGGTCTGAAGATGTATGTGCCCAAGGACGGCATCATCTACCGAAAGGAGGTGTATCAGCTGTGCGCGGTCCAGCCTGCCGACGGCCCCGCGCAACACTCGCCGCTGCGGGTCGACGACGACGGCGGCGACACCGATCACGACGGCGACACCGACGGCCTGGAGAGCTCCACCGACAGCATGCGGCACTCGCACGGCAACCCGGGAGTGCCCTCCACCATCGAGGCGGGCGACTATTCGAGTTCCCACGCCGAGCTCATGTCGTCCGCCGAATCCGAGTGCGAGTCGCTCGACGACAACTTTAGTACGTTGCGCCCACCATCAGCAGCCGCACTCGCTTTGCGCGGGCAATTGTGTGCTGACTCTCTCTCTCTCTCTCTTTCCAAGACGCAGCCGAACTGACGTGGCATCCAGTCATCATTTTGGTGCCGGTGAGGCTTGGGATCCAATGCCTCAACCCAATTTACATTCCCACTCTCAAGGCCTTCTTCTCCTTCCCCCAATGCCTGGGCGTCATCGGCGGCAAGCCCCACTCCTCCTTCTACTTCGTGGGCTATCAGGGTATCGTGTTACCTTCTCTCTTTCTCACTCTTGCTCTCTCTTCATCTGTGTCATAGTTCATGTCACGGGTTCTCTTTGCCACTATCTCATCCTCTTCCCGTTTGTTGTCTTTGTCACAGACAACAAAGTGCTGTACATGGACCCCCACTTTGTTCAGCCGACGGTGAAGATGGACGACGACCCTCTGTTCCCCATCGAGGTACGTTTACGTTCCACTTTTTTTTAGAAAATATGAGTTTCTCACCGCGCAGTGTCTCTTCACTCCGACACACCGCAGTCGTATCGGATGGAGATTCCCCAGGCCATGTCGTTCGACGACATCGACCCCTCGCTCGCGCTGGGATTCCTGTGTTCCTCGCAGGCCGAGTTTGACGACTTTTGCCTCAACGCCGTCGCGGTACCGCCTTCCTTCCTGTTTCCCGCTCGCTTTTGTGAAGCAGCCGATTCTTGTCTGCGGCTATCTAACACCACAACCAACCACAACAGTTGGGCCGAGCGAACCCATGCGTTTTTTCGATAGCGGAGCAGAAAACAGTGTACAAAGGCTCTTCATCCTCCTCCTCTTCATCTTCCTCGTCTTCCCCCTCTTCCTCGACCTCCTCTCCATCCACCTCTCGGAGCGGATCCGACTCCTGCTCCGTCCTCCTGGACGAGGACGACGAGGAGTACGTGCTCGTTTGAGCCGCGGCTTTTTCCAGTTCTCGCCCTCTCCGCATCGGCCTCTCTCACCTTCATCTTTTGTCACATGTTTGCCTCCTCCCTTCTGTACATTACAGATCACAAACAATCTATTCTTATCTATTGAGGAGTGAAAAATGGAGTTAAAAAAATGGTTGGATGAAAATAATAATAGCTGTTTATTGAAGGAAGATGCTGGCGACGACGATCGACGAGCTGCCGGAGGAGTTGGTGAGCCTGGTGTTCACCCACCTGCCCCTCGCGGCTGTGGTGGAGTCTGGCGCGGTGAGCCGACGCTGGGCGGATATCTGGAGCTGCTCCAGTGGGCGCGGGCCAAGCCGGCTGCCCGTGGGACCACATGTGCTGGTCTCTGCAGCGGAGCAGGGCCATCGGCATGTGATCGACTGGGCCACCAGCAATGTCTGCCCTGCAGATTGGTGTGTCTTGCTCACCAGCCAACCAAAAGCTTGCTTTTTGTTTTTATTTATAACGGAAAAGAAAAGAAAAGAAAAGAAAAGAAAAGCTGTCCTTCTTCAAAAAGATGGATGAGCATACCCCTCTGCAGCCAGCACGCCCTGCTCACCCGGTAAAAATGGCCTCTCCACTATGTGGCATAAATGTATTTTTTATTTATTTTAACAACTTGTTGTAGAAGGAGCGGGCCGAGAGCACCAGCAGCAGTTGGGGCGGGGTGGTGGTGCTGCCCTGCCGGCCGGGCAAGTACGTGCGGCGGTGGGCCGGCCGCAAGCCTCAGCGGCGACCGAGCCTGGCCAGCCGGCGCGTGCCGCTGTGGGTCGTCGCCACCTCGCTCGTCGGGTCCTTCCTGGGCATCTTCCTCGTCGGCCTCCTCGACGACTTCCTCTACTCGCCCGGCGACGTCGTCCTCCTCATCGGCACGCACGACTCACCACCTCGCCGGCCACTGGGCTTTGACTGACGCACGACACGACACACGCACGACCGCACACGACATGCGACACACGACACGCATGACCGCACACACTCGGGTGCAGGGAGCTACGGGGCGACGGCGGTGCTATTGTACGCGGCGCCCACCTCGCCGCTCTCGCAGCCGCTCAATCTGGTGGGCGGACATGCCCTCTCCTCGTTCATCGGAGGTACAACGTGCGGTGCGCGGTGTGCATGCGAGCGATGGTGTGTGTTGTGTGTGCGTGTGTCGTGTGTGTGTGTGTGTGTTGTGTGTGTGTGTGTGTGTTGACGTGTGCGGTGTGTGCAGTCTCATGCCACAAACTATTTGCACACGTCTCAATGCCGTTGGCTGCCGCGTTGGCCGTTTCAATATCGATCGCCGTCATGCAGCTCACCTGCACGCTGCACCCGCCCGGAGGTGCGTTCTCCCGCAACAGAGTGAATGAATGCACGCCAGGGAACTGACGTCGTGTGGCACGCGTGCAGGAGCGAGCGCGATCATAGCCGTGTTGGCTTCGGGGAAGGTGGTGGAGGCCGGCTACTACTACGTGGTCACCACGGTGCTGGGCGCGCTCGTCATGCTGGCTGTCGCGCTCGCCGTCAACAATCTCCCCCGGCCACCAAACCTCAGGCACGCACCGCCTCTTCGACCGAAAAACAAATAATAACAATATTAATGATGATGACAATAATGTTTTTGCAGGTATCCACAATACTGGTGTTGAGACGCGTCTGGTCATGGTGTGCGTCTATGTCGACTGATTGATGCAAAATTTAAAGATGGAAATGATAAATGATAGGCACATATAGTTATGATAATAACATATATTGTTTATGTAGAGCAACTATTTGAGGAATGCGGGGTATCGTGCTGTGCTGTGGTAGTGGCCTTCCTGGCCTGGTGCTTCTTGACTCGTGGTGGATGCTTCCGCATACGCTGTAGTGGCACATACCTGCACGCAACACGGCAACATGTCATCAGCACGACACGCGAACACGACACATGATAGAGGGTGTGGTGCGCGCCATTCTTCGGGCATTCCGGTGAGGTCGCGCGCTTCCTTGTTGAACGGCCCGCAGACCGGGATTTGCGTTTGGTGCACGATGGCCTGGAACGCGGTCTCCGGGTCCTCGTCGTCCCTCTCGCACAGATATCGGAACCTTTTTATATATATTATTTTAAAATAATAATAATAATATTTAAAAAAAAACACGTCGCACACGCACACGCACACACGCGGCGGTGATGGTACCACTTGAGGCCCTTCTTGACGTGGTCGATCTCCTCGCGGCAGATGGTGTCCACGATCCGACCGCTCTCCTTGTCAGCGTTGGAGTTGAATCGCTGCACCAGCCGCTCCCACGAATCCAATCCGTGCGTCTCGTGTACTGCGAGAGTACCACCACACGACGCACACGGCACACACCGACGCACACCGACATGCCGCACAAAGTGGTGAACACGCACGAGAGCTCTCAGCCAATTTGTCTGGAAGCGTCGTCGACGACAGAGTCGGACCGCGCACCCAAAGCGATGATCTGCGCAGAGCGCCGGCGAACGTGGCGATCGCAAAGAGGGAAAAAGAAATCGTGGTTAGTGTGTGCGCGCTGTGTGTGCGCGCTGTGTGTGCGTGTGCGTGTGTGTGTGTGTGTGTGTGTGTGTGTAAGAGCTGAGCTGATCAAGTACCGCAAGTCTCGCTTTCAGGTTGTGTCCGGTGGTCTCGCCATCCTGTGCGCGATGGTGCGAAGAAAGAGGAATTGTTAACAGAATTCGTAGAACCAACGATTGCAAAGAAGGGGGGGGCGGTACGCGCAGGAGCGAGTCGTGTGCGGGAATCACGCCGTAGTGGTAGCCAAGCGCAACGAGACGCGAGGACAGCAATCCGAAATGGCGCGCCTCGTCGCTCAGCACCGACACCTATTATGATAGGAGGCGTTGAGTCGCACCACACGCACACACACACACACACGACACACGACACACGCATACACGACACACACGCGGCACACACACGATGACACACAGCGCACCCAGTCTGTGTAGAACTCCGGAGGCATGTTCTCGTGCCTGAACCGCAGGATGAGGTCCCACCCGAGATCGACCGCGTTCAACTTCACAAGAAGAAGAACAAGAATATAAGTGCAATAATAACAATAATAAAAATAATAACAAGCCAGTATGGCGCTCTCGTACCTCGATGTGTGCCAACGAGTGTAGGAGATAGATCGGCAATGGCACGTTCACTGCGCACAGCACGTCAGTCAGATCGCACATGTGTGTGCACGTGTGTGCGCGTGTGTGCGTGTGTGCGGTGTGTGCGTGTGTGTGCACGCGTGGTGAGAGTGTTCGTACGTTCTTTGGCGCCGGGCATGTTGCGCTTGTCCCGCAGTTCGGGTGTGGGTGGTCGCGCGGGCTGGGGAGGCGGTGCGATGTCGCCCAGGTCGGTGATGGCCTGCGTGCGCCACCGCTCGTTGGCTTCGTGCGTCAGGCGCGCCTTCTCCTCCGGCACCGGCGACGTCAGCACCCGCTGGCCGTACTCGCACAGGGTGGCTGCCGTGCGCACTCTGGCGACCACACCATAAGGCAGAATGGATGTCAATCGTCATTGTCATGCACAGATTTTCCGATTAAATGTAATGAGAGCACGTACCGCAAGGTAAGGAGGCTGCGTAATGGCAGCCCAACAGCTGCCGTGGTGCTCCGGCGGCCTGCCCGCATTCTGAAGCCAATTTGATTTGAAAAAAATAAATTATTTATTGTTTTCTTCTTGCCCGCAGGAAAAATCAAAAGAAATATCGAGAAATGCCGAGGGTACAGAAGGAGAGGGTGATCACTCGAGCAAAAACAGAGGAGGTGGATGACGATCATCAGTGGTAGGAGACGTAGTCGTTGTCGTGCAGGAGGGGTCGCTTGTGGCCGAGCTCCTCCATGGCGGGCGGCTTCAGCAGGAACAGGCAGAACGACGCCACGACCGACACGATGGCACCCACCAGCGCCATCCACCAGCCGCTACACGATGGCACCACATCCCAGTTAGCACCATCCACTACACCTTCTACTTCAGCCAAACAAAGAAAATGTAGCAGTAGTATGTAGTAGTGGTAGAAGAAGAAGGTCAAAGTAGAAGAATGTAGAAGACCAACCTGAGAGGACCCCATTTAAAGTCGGTGTGGAAACGGCCGATGTTGGAGCGGTCGCCGATGAAGGTGGTGCACCAGTACTTCTCCTCGTCGAAGACCGACAGGCCGAGGTAGGCCTCGTCCGGGCAGAACGACTCGTCCAGCGCGAAGCTCTCGCAGAGGCCGAAGAAGAGGAACCAGGCCAGGAAGGCGCAGATGATCATGGCCAGCGACACGCACAGCAGCGCCCACTTGGTGGCCTTGTGCCCGAAGCGGCGGTTGAGGAAGGTGCGCGCGAACAGGACCGGCCCGAGCAGCACCAGGTCGAGCCCGACCGCCGCCACCAGCAGCGCCAGCGACGTCAGCAGCTTGGCCTCGACCGCATCTGTAGGGAAGTCCGACCACGGCATCTTTCGAGTAGTGGTGGTTGATGATGTGGTTGATGATGTCTCTACCGCGGCTGCGGCGACGGCCGCCGACGAGTTGGAGGCCTGCGGGCTGGGCGAAGGGCTGGACGAGGGGCTGGGGTCGGTGGAGGGGGCGGCAGAGGGGCTGGGCGAGATGACGGTGGCGTTGGTGGAGTTGATGGTGAGGGTGACGCCGGTCCAGTAGAAGGTGGAGACGACGGTGGCGGTGGTGTTGCCGTCCCAGGTGGGGTAGGGCACGTTGGTCTCGGTAATCTTGTACCAGGGCAGGGCAAGCGCGAGGATGAAGAAGAGGAGGGCGAGGAAGAGCACCACCACGACGATGCTTTGTCGCGTGATGAAGCCGGGAAGCTGCGAGGAGCTCATCTTGTGATCCAATTATTATGAATGGAAGAGAAAAATGAGGATCTATTTCACGATTTCAACGATTAACGATCAATTGAGAGTTGAAGCGACCGAATGAGAAGAGAGAAAAGCGGAACGGTCGCCTAACACCAAGGCAGAAGAGCACCACACTTCCCTCTTCCCGAACTCCGTCAACAACTGGAACTCGGCCAACCACACAAGAATGGCCTAAATATCTGGACATGGCACGAAGCAGCCACCTTCTTCAAGCAATGATCATGACCCAACAGGTACGGAGGAGAGGATGGCGATGTTGCCAGCTTGATCAACCGACCAGGGGAATGCTGGCTACTTCGTGCCAACTCGCTTCGTCGCCGTCCGTTCGCCAGATGTGGATGCTGTTCGCGTTGAACGAAGCCGCCTTCTCGCTCAGTCGTCCCTCGGCCTGTCAAGTGGTCAGTCAACAGGCGTGCATGCTCATGCAGGCATTGCTTGGGGGGGGGGAGCTGAGGCATCACGGCTTCAACCCACCTGAAGATGTGCGATGATACGGTCCTTGGTGGAGTCGGGGATGTCGGCATAGAGGAGGCTGACGTGGGGCATGAAGGTGGCCTGCGACCCCGGCTGCGCTCTGCCGAAGACTTGCTGTGCGTGCGTGTAGGCCTTCAACAACTGTTGTAGAAGATGAAGAAGGTCAGGTGCCGCTACTCGCAACCAAAAAGAAGAACAAGAAGAAGACAGGCAGCTGTTCTGCGGGTGCTGCAGCAACCTCTGGCGTTTTCCTGGCGTGGATGAAGACGCACTGGTGGAAGGTGCTGCCCTTGCCCAGGTCGTGCAGCCACACCCTGAGGGGTACACCTCCACAGCTGTGCGCCAGGGTCTCCACCCTCTCCTTGAGCTCGGCCAGGCCCACGCCGCTCACCGACCCGAGCAGGGTGAGATGTGGCACGAACACAGGGGGCGGCTTGCCATGCTGCTGCTCGTCCTTGCGCAGCGCCTCAATGGTCTGCGTGAGCAAGTCCCACTGGTGCGAGTTACGGTCTGGCATCAGCCAGAGGGAGTACTTGGCGTCCGAGTCTGCCATGCTGTACGCGCCTTCGTTGTGTTGAACAAAATAAAATAAATATGCTGTTCTTTTTTATTCGATTTTATCTATTTTAAAAATCAATAACATAAATAACGTAAATCAGCATAAAATGTTTCAAGCAGCAGGATGAGCAGTGCCAGGCCTGGTATATTTGAATTGCCACGTCAGTCCTCGCCAGCATGGGTGGTTCCTTTGTCTGCGGTGAGGAATGTGTGCACGTTGGCACCCTTTCGCACATGCACTCCCACTCGCACTCCTGGCTCCACTGTGAATAGCAAACTCAATTGTGTCAGCTTTTGATAACGTGTGTGTCGTGTGTGTGTGTGTCGTGTGTTCCAGAGAAGATTACCTGAAGCGGACGCATCTTTAAGGGTGTCCTTATTCACCTTGAGGCCCTCCTTCTTGCCGTACTTGTCGTACCACTCGTCGAACTTCATGTAGCCGCCGCCCACGCGGATGACCAGGTAGCCATTGAGAATGCGCATGTTCACGTTCTGCCCGATGCACACCACGCACACGACACGACACGCACCACGCACACGACGCACACAAGGTCAGACGAACGGCTCGAAGAACGACGAGTAGAGGAAGAAGGCGAGTCGTGCCTTGCCGCCGAACTTGTACATGCCCTCCTTGACCCACACGAAGGGCACCTCGAGACCCTTGCTATTGGCCACCTCGGCCAGCTTGGCGTCGATCTCATCGCCCTGCGCCAACACACACACAACGGTTGTAGCATCCGTCAGGTGCGTGCGTGTGTCGCGTGTGTCGCGTGTGTCGCGTGGTGTGTGTACCTTTCTGGGGGCGTAGACTTTTTCGCCGACTCCGGGGTTGGCGCGCGACCACGAAGCCGTGATGGCAGCAGCGGACGGGGGCAGCATCATGCTCGCCCGCGAATCTCCACGCTCCCGCGCCTTGGCCTGCGCGCTGTGTGGCGACAAGATGCGCAAAACAGCAGTCAGTTGCCATGAAACACACAAGACCCGCACACCACCGCACACCACCGCACACACAACGCACGCCGCACACGAGTGCACGCGACACACACGCGCGGTGAAAGGCGAAAGGGGTTGGGTACCGAGTGAGGCTGCTCATGGTCTGGATGTCGGTCATGCGGATCTTCTCGCGCAGGGCCTCCAATTCCTTCTCCAGAGCCAACCGTGCCTCTTTCTCCATCTCGGCCTTCGTCTTGGTCAACTGTTGGCATCGCACGACACACACACAAACACACACACACACACGACACACACACGACACACGCGGTGAGGCCCGGGTGGTGAAAAAGGCGAAGGAGAAGCGGTGAGACCTGGAGCTGTTCCTCCTTGAACGAGAGTTCGGTTTCGAGGGCGTTCTTGGCCGTGTTGAAGGCGTCCTCCAGCTCTTCGACCGACGACGACGGAATCATGTTGCTCCTGGCAACCATCACCACAATGAGGCACGCGCGGAATGTGAGAAAGGCCGCTGTGTGTGTGTGTGTGTGTGTGTGTGTGTGTGTAGCAGAGTGTAAGCCAAGGGCGGCGTACCGCTCGCTCTCCATTTCCTCCTCGAGGCGACGTCGGAGCTGTTCGAGCTCTTCGCGGGCCTTCTCCTCGCGCGCGAGCTTCTCCCGCAGCATGCGCATCTCCTTCTCCCGCTTCTCCTCCTTCTCCTTCTCCTCCTGTCGTACGTCAAGATCGGTCCACGCGTCAACTTCATCGCACACGCACACGCACACACGCACACGACACGACACGACACACGCACGCATCGCACACACGAGGATGACGAAGAGTGGGAGGGAGGGGGGGAGACCTCTTGGAAGGCGGCGAGCTGCGAGCGGAGGGCGTCCATCTCGAAGCGGATCGACGCCCGCGAATTGGCGCGCGTGCGCAGTTCGCCCTCGAGCTTCTTCTGCAGCCCCGACAGGTCATCCCTGTTTTTGTTTTGCCACCGGCGAGCGCCACGTCACCCCACGTCAGCCGTGCCATCCAACCTGCGCAGCCGCTGGGGCCGGCGATCGTGTGTGTGTGTGTGTGTGTGTGTGTCATACTTTTCCTTGAGTGCGTCCTCGAGCTTCTGCTCCATCTCCTTGGCCTTGTCCTCGGCATTCACATAGTCCGTCTTGATTCTGTTCGTGTCGTGCGTGTCGTGCGTGAGCCACACACAGCCGCGCACGCGCAGGCACACACGAATGCGAGGGACGAGGAGTGGAAGACACGCACTGCTGGAGGGAGTGGCGAATGCGCTCGGCGCGCTGCTCGAGTTCCTGGCGGACTTCGCTGGAGATGGCGAGCTGGCCCTCGATGTCGCTCTTCATGGAGGCCTCCTTGTCCAGCTGCCGCTTGAGATCGGCCATCTCCTGCTCCAGCTGCAGCCGCGTCTTCTGCTCGGCCGACAGCTCCTCCGCGTCCACCCGCAGCTGGAACTTCAACTGCTCCACCTATTTGACACCACAACGCGACACACACGACACACATGCAACACACATGCAACACACATGCAACACACATGCAACACACATGCAACACACGACACGACACACGAGACACGCAACGCACGACACAATTTATCAGACGCGAGCGAATGAAGTGATTCAGATGATTTTGGTGCTGGCGTGCCTCTTCCTGGAGGAGGGCTCGGGACTGCCGGCGAGCCGACAGCTCCCGCTTCAGCGAATACTGCACGCCTGTGTGGACCACCTACCGTTAGGCACGACACACGCGGCACCGCACACACCGCACGGCACACGCAAGGAAGGGACGTCATGCCTTCGAGTTTCTGCTTTTCGGTGGACTCCTCCTTGACGCGGTCCTCGAGGAGACGCACGCGGGTGGCGAGCTCGTTGCGCTCCTGCTCTGTCTGCTGCTTGTGGCGGTCCTGCCAGGCCATCTCCGCGCGCGCCCGCTCGAGCTCGTCCTGCAGCTGCTTCTGGGTCATCTGCCGCTCGGCCATCTCCCGGCCCAGTCGCGTCTGCAGATCTTCCAAGTCGCGCTTGCACTGCTCCTCCCTGCACGATTAATTGTATTATTTACTAATTATCAATTAAATAAAAAGTAATTGAATTCTAATTCTGTAATTATTGAAATATTAAAAAATATGTATAGGGAATGGAATTGACCTTTCGAGGCTGTCCTTGAGCAGGGCGATCTGTTCCTCGTAGCCCTTTTGGGCCTCCTCGAAGTTGGCCAGCATGTTCACCCCTGCGCGTTCGTCATGGTTGCGTGAACAGTGTCGTCAGTCACCACTCGCTGATGGGTCTCGAAGGCGACGGGGAGGAGTCCAGGGGTGTAGTACCGGAGGTGTACTTCTGGGTCACCTCGGCGAGTTCGGTCTCGAGCTTCTCCTTCATAGTCTTCATGGCGTTGAGCTCGTCTGCAGCGGTCAATCGAAATGAAGAACGAAGAGCGAAGAAAGCGTCAATAGAAGAATGAAAAACGAAAACAAAGAACGAAGTATAAAAATCCTGAAGAAATGAAATGGGGGCGTGAAGGAAGATGGTACGTTCATCCTGAGCGCGTGCGAAGCGCTCCTCGGAGAGCTCCTTCTCGAGTGAGCCTACGACAGTCTGGAGCTCGGCCTGCTTCATCTCGATCTCCTGCTTCTCGGTCAGCACCGTTATCCGCGTCATCATCTCCGACTGCGGAACACGGCACACACGGCACACACGACACGCGACACGACACGCGACGGGTAAGATCTCAGAATGTCCGGTGCCAATGATCAGGAGGGGTTGAGCGGGCACCTTGAGCTCGTCCTTGAGTTTGTCGATCTCGAGGTTGAGCTTCTCTCGACTCTTACGCGCGTTCACCTTCTCCTTCTTCACCTTCTTCTTCATCAGCTCCAGCTTCTTCTGCGCCGCCTTCTTGTCTGTTGGCACACCGCGCCCGTGTCATGTTCGACACGACACCCACGACACACATGACACACACGACACACACCAGACTTGTGAGTCAGAGAAGGGAAGCACAGTGTCGTGTCGTGTCGTGTCGTGTCGTGTTGTGTCGTGTCGTGCCTTCTTCCATGAGCTCCTTGGACTTCTTCTCGTCCTCGAGGTTCTCCTTGAGCTGGATGATGGCCTCGCGGTAGAGGGAGGTCTTCTCCTTCTCGTCCTCGATGCGCCGCATGAGCTCCTCCCGGTTCTGTTCGATCTCCTCCCGCTCCTTCTGCGTCTTCATCAGCAGCGCCATCGCCTCCTCCACCTCCTTGCTCTTGTTCTCCATCAACACCGGATAGGGCGACCCTGTTCATTGTTAATTCGGTAATTGGTCAGTTAAATGTTGTGTGATCGCATCATCACCACCAATTGCTGTTGGTTGGTGGTTGATTTAAGGGGAATTCGGAGAATGTGGAGAATGAACATACCTCCGAGTTGGCGCCCGTCGAGGGAGATATCGAGAAACATCTGCTGGTGCGGGTCGGACGAGGGCACGTAGGAGATGGAGTAGGTGCCGTCGCCGTTGTCCTCCACCTCGCAGCGGATCATGAGGTTGGCCACCACCTTCTGCCCGCCCTGCGTGTGGTTGTGGCCGAACTTGTCGCGCGCCTGGACCGTGAACCGCGCTCGCCCGTCCGAGCCGAGCATCACACGCGGCGACAGGCCGGTGTCGCCACCGGCGCCCTCGCTGTCGGCGGAAATCGGCGGCACGAGGACCGAAGCCGCGGCGTCGGCCCTGGCGGCGCGCACGGGCAACTTAAAGGGGCTGCCCTGAATTGGTGTGCCCTCCATCTCCACCTGCAGCAGGTAGTCGCCGCTCTGGAATGCCAAACAATACAAGTAAGTAAGAAAGAAAGAAAGAATGAATGCATGAATGTGAGCTATGCAGAAGGAATGTTGAAGGCAGGAATGTGGGCTGAGAGAGGTGTGTGCCTTGTTGACTTCGAAGGTGACGAGGTAGGAGCCGTCGCTGTTGTCGCGGGTGGAGACCTGGAGGTCGGGGTTGTCGATGCGGCCGCCGGCGTCGGACACGAAGTAGGCCAGCACCTTGGCCCCGCCTTTGCGGCACGGGCTGCCGTCGTCCATCTTGGCCACCACCCGGATCGTGCATTCCTCCCTATGCGTGAGCGGAACACACACACCACACACACACCCGCGACTGTGTCAGGCAGGCGCACATCAAACATTCCATCGGCGGGGCCTACCCGGCGTAGGCTGACTCCAGCGCGTCGCCCGAAGCGGTGGTCTTGGACGCAGCCGGCTTCTGCGTTTTGGCCGTTCGGTGCTCCTACATAATGTGAAAATATTATTATTATATTTAAAAATAATAATTATTATTACATAAGTAAATAGAAAAGGAAGAAGAGGGCAAACCTGGCGGAAGTAGGAGACGTAGGTCATCACGGAGAGTTCGTCGGGCTTGCCCTCGAGCATGTCCTCCACGTCGAGCAGGATGGGGATCTGGCAGAGCTCCTCGGCCTTACGGAAGGCCAGCTCCAGGTTGGTCCGCGCATCGGACTTGTCCAGCGCCTGCACGTCGATGGTGCCCGGCAGCAACCCGTTCACCAGGCCGCAGAAGAACGTGCCATCGGCCCAGCTGCACAACAGAAATATATATTTATATATGTATATAGAAAAATTAAATTAATTTCAAGTGTGATTTTCAAACGTAAAAGATATTTAGTAAGAGATAATAGAAACTGAAGAATGCGCACCATTGTTGGAAGTTGGTGATGTCTTCGATGCCCTGGGGTACGAGGACTTGCTTGCACCAGTCGAGCAGCTGGTGCTTCACCGACGACGTCTTTGGCATCGCGCCACCGCCGCCGCCGCCCGGGCCGCCGCCGCCCTCAGGAAAGTTTAGCTCCGAATTCTTTTCCTCTGCACGCACCCACGTGTGATGATGATTAGTACACGACTAGCTAAGCTGCCCGCGAAGGGCTTCAACGTTGAAGTACGGTACCGTCCCACTCGCCTCGCTGGATTTGGAATCGCAGGATGAGCGTCCAGATGAGACCCAGCACCAGCTTCGTGCGCCCATCGTAGATGTCTGCGCCCAGCAATCGCACGACACGACACCGCACACGCACACGCACACGCACACGCACCGTACACGCAGGCGCACACGCACACGCACACGAGTGTCGCCAGAAGGTGAACAAAAAGTTGGAGTAGTAGAGAAGAAGATGCACAAGAGGTGCGCACCTTCGGGTCCGATGTTGACGAGGATGATGCGCTTGCGCTCGAAGGAAGGAGAAGGAGATGTTGAGGTTCTCGAGGTTGTGCACCTTGAGGCGCGGGTTGACGTGGAAGCTGGGTCCGCGTAGCCGCTCGCCGGAGAGGAGCTCGAGAAGGTGGCACAGCGCCACGCCGCTGGTCAGGTCCTTCTCCAGTCGCTGCAGCTTCATCTCCCGCTCTTTCAGCCAGTGGTTACACCAGGCCGTGAACGTCTGGACCAGAATAAATAAATAAATACAATTAATTAATAGATTAATTTTAACGAAAGTGTAAATCATAATATAAAAGTATTATTCCATTTTTATCTTTGCTCTATTTCAACTGCAATCATTTTGTAGCAAATCTAAAAGAGAAGCTTTTGCGGGGGGGGGTGCCTTTCGCTGTTGGCGAATCCAGTGCGGCTCCGACTCGAGGCTGGGCGATGATGGCGGCGCATCCTGACCCTGCATTCTGCTTCTTCTTCTTCTCCACCTTCCTCCCTGGTCGTGCCGAATGCCTTAGCCTCCGCGGGTGCTGCGTGTTGTGTCTCGTGGGTGCCCTGCTCGTGTTGGCTCCAATAAAAACTGACTTAAATTCCACAACCATTTTTCATCGGTTTACCAAGCCAGAACAGAAGAGCCAAGTTTGCTTCTTCACCAGCTTATAAAGCTTCTCACCTTTTACACTTAGATCACAGAACTCTATCTCTATTCAAGGTAGACCATGACCAGAAGGAACGAAACGAGCGACCCACAAAAGGCGCCCAACTTGACGCGTACACAAATCAACAAGGAGAAGGCGGAAGGTGAGGAAACGACGATGCGGTCGCGATGGAACCACGACTAAAGAGAGGAGAGACGGGTACCTGGTTGGCGGCTGCGACAAAGGTGGAGGCCCTCTCGGCGATCTCGGGGTGTTCGGTAGCGACCTTGATGTAGGCCATCGTGTCCTCCCACCCGTTGAGCAGCGTGAACAGCGCATTCGGTACTCCGAGGTCAAGGAATGTAGGTCATGCCAAAGAGACAAACACGTCGCATAACACACGTCACACACACACACACACGTTTTGGCGCGACACACACGACACACACGACACACGCACGCACACGCGCGCACATGCGCACACGCTCGACGTGGGAGGGGTGGCAAGGATATCAACAACGATGAGGAATGCCAGACTCTCTGGCACAAGACTCCTATCACCGAGGAGCGAGATCACCATCAAGAAGACCCACAGCGGCGTCTGGCCCAGCGCACAATACGGTGAGAAATCAACACGAACTCACGCACACTCGACCGCGCGCACACACACACGACACGACGCACACACACACACACGGATGTACCTGCGCCAAGCTGACCCAGGTGAGGGAGTAGTAGCGGAACCAGGTGCATAGGAAGCGACCAAGCGAGCTGGTGACAGTGGCGGCGATGTTGGTCCACATGAGCCACGTCCCCGAGTCCTTGTAGCCCGACACCGCATAGGGCAGCATCCCCACCAACACGTAGTTGATCAAGCAGATGTAGAACTGGTCTGTAGTCACGTGTGTGTGTGGTGTGTGCGTGTGTGCGTGTGCGGTGGTGCGTGAGCGACGAGAGTGAACTTGCGCTAGGATGGTTAGGGATCGCACTGAGCAGTGGATTGCTTAGTAATCGGATCACGGCAAGCGAAGGCAGAGGCCCCACGGGCAACAGCAGCTCGTCGTCCGCCTCGCCCACGACACGCGAGCTGCCTTCCACCTCCTGTCCGACCGCGAACCGCGGTTAACCTTTTTTTCAGCTGAAGCCCAACAATAATTGGGAAGCGCTACCTCATGATCGCTCCCAGTCGTCGCGGCTTTGGATAAGAGCCGCTGGCTCTGCGCGTACGATGATGGTTCCTGCGTAAGCCGAGGTCAGCCGCCAGGCACCACCACAAGGCAAGGAGCGCGCGTGTTGGTGGTGATGTTGGTGATGAAGGGCTGCGCGCTCGTCTTGTACGTGCGGACGGGTTTGCGTACGGGTTGTTGGGAAGGTGCGCGCACCTGGTCCGTGGGCGCGCCTTCGAGGTGTTGCCGCACGCGGGCCGAGTTCATGAGGAGCAGGATGCAGACGTAGGAGAAGAGCGACAGGGCGAGGCAGGCGCCCATGATGAAGAAGAAGACGGCCACGCTGAACCGCTTCGATCCTCCGGGGTCCTGAATGGCCGCCAGCAGCGACGGCACGAGTCCGTTGATGCCTTCACCACGCCACCGCCACCATCGCCATCGCACACACGCGCACGACGAAGAACTAAGCCATCAAGAAACAACAACAACAACGGTGATGATGGACAAGGCCGTAGATTAGGGGTACCCATGCCGGTGGAGAGGGCCGCGGTGATGGAGTGCTTGAAGAGGGAAGCGAAGGGAAAGAAGGAGACCACGGCGAAGCAGCCCACGAGCCCCGCAAACAGCGTCAGCACCATCAGCGCCACGCTGTTTCATCGTTGTGTGTGTGTGTTTGTGTGTGTGTGTGTGCGTGCGTGTGTCGTGCGTGTCGTGTGTGTGCGTCGTGTGTGTTGTGTGTCGTGGTGTGACCTAAGCCGCAAGCCGTAAGTGCAATGTTTACGGTAGCGAGGGTACCTTCGCGTGGAGTCGAACAGGTGCGCGGTGTGGTCCCAGAAGACGCCGAGCAGGATCGCGGTGGCGATGCCGCAGCCCAGAGTGCCGACGATGACCCAGTTGTAGGGTACGCGCATGTACTGCCGCACCACCACGTACCCGATGGGGATGATGTTGCCCAGCTGGATGATGATGATCAGGTACGACGCGATCGAGTTCCCCTCTGGCAGCTCGGCGATGAACACCGGCAGCTGTGGTGAAGTCGATAAGATTTCTTTACATTCGTTTAAATCAGATTAATCGTCGGCAACGCGTAGTAAGGTTTACACCGAACCTGCATGAAGAGGGCGTTGACGAGCAGCCATGGCGCGAGGCCCACCAAAAAGAAGAGCAGGTGCATCCCCGCTTCGGCCAGCACTCGTTTCCGCTTGGCAGGTCCCCACCGGGCCGGAGCGAGCACCACATCGACCAGCCCGTCGCTGCCGCGGCCCTTCCCCGTTTCCTGCTCCAGCCCGCCCTCATCTCGAATCATCGCCTCCATCTCTTTTGTTGCCTGTCTCTACGCGTTCATCTTTTGGGTTTTTTGTTTTTGGCGCTGTGCGCAGGAATGTCCCCACGTAACTATGCTCATATTTCGCATTCCACAGCGAAGAGAAACGCAACAAACCTTCAGAGGAGGGTGGACGGCTTGGCGTCTTCTTCGTGCTGCTCGCTCTCGTTCTTGGTCGTGACCTCTTCATCCGTCGGCGCACGTACCTCTTCGAGATCCTTCTTCGTCTCGCCGTCGTTGTCATCGTTCTTTTGCTCCTTCTCCTCATGCTTCGATTGAGTCTCCTCAGTGACGGGCTCCTCGAGCTTCGACCTCTCGGCGGGCGGTAGCCACTTGGCATAGCCCGGCAGGCCGCGTTGCCGGGCGAGAGGATGGAACTGGGTGATCAGCTTCATGCCGGAGAGTTGCGACGGCTTCACCTCCTCGTTGGCGTTGGTATCGTCATCGGCCTTCTTGGCTTCGTAGACCCAGAAGGCGGGCGTGGCGTTGAGGCCCTCGGCGTCGGCGTCGACCTTGAGGAAGGTCACCTCGGGGAAGTCCTGGGAGAGCTGCCCGATCATGGGGTTGAGCTTCTTGCACGGCCAGCAGCCCTTGCGCCAGAAGAAGACCACCACCTTGCCCTTATTCCTGGCCTCCTCCAGCTCTTCCTTGTACTGTTGTTGTTGTTGTTCGCGGGTGTGACGTCAGTCGCACGCAGGCATGACCGCACGCAAGGCACGCAGGTGAAGGAGAGACGAACCTTGTCCTTGTCGACCATCTTGATGTTCCGCATGCCGGCGCGTTCGAGCGACTTGAGCTCGTCCTTGAGTTGCTGCTTGAGGGCCGCCACGCTCCTCTTGAACGGGTCCTCATTGGTATTGAGCTGGTCGTACATGTCGAACAGCTTGTTGAACAGGTCCTTGGCCTTGTCGCTCGTCGGCACGAACTCCTACACAACGTTGTTCGAACATGCGCGTTTGGCGCTTGAGTAAATGCTCGGAAGAAGAAGAAGAAGCAAGAAGTAAGAAGTGGAAACGCTGGAGTAGTACCTTGTAGGCGAGAGTGTGCATGTAGTAGTCACCCAGCGTCTTCTCCATGTCGCGCAGGAGGCGCGTCGTGTCCGCCTTGCGCAGATGCCGGTACGCCACATCTCCGCGCGTACTGCAGAGAACGTTAACCTCTGGATGTCAGCGAGCACCAGCAAGCAGATCAACTTGAAAAAAAGAAACGACTCATCAAGGACGCGCGCGTACCCACGCTGCTGCTCGATGAAGGCAACGACGTCCAAGAGATCGCCCTTCCCGTGGTAGGTGACGGGCTCGTTCTTGTGGCCCTTGCGGAAGAGCTTGATGCCCTCAATCGGCGTATCGCCAAAGTAGGTCGGATCGAGCTCGTTCAAGAAGCTGCTCCCAGAGAAAGCATTGGGTAAGTGCGTGAGCCATCAAAGCGAAGTCGTCGAAAGGCGGAATTTTCAGAACCTGCTGCATTCGGTGATCACGATGTCGTCTTCACCGGCATAAGCGTTGGCGAGGACCTGAAGGTCGGTGGGGACGCTCTGCGAGGGAAGGTGGACGTAGACCAGCACGTCCTTGTCCGAGTTCAGCACCAAATCTTGGAACGATTCCTTCGTCACCACCTTCAGATCCTTGACTGCACACGAAGAGTTTGGTCAAAGTAGAATTGCTACACACGACAAGACAAGCGTGAGACGCACCTTGAGGATGCTTGTCCTCAGC